CACGCACTGTCGAGTCAAGTGCCAGTGGATTAGAGACCTGCTCCCGAGAGACCCGACGCAACAGAGTGCGGCGCGGGACAAGACTTGATAGGCGAGTGCAGAGACTCGTGTGTGTGCGGGATGCGGGAGAATAAAATAATTCACGGGAGTCCCGCAAAATAGAAATATCTAAACATAAAATATCTAAAACAACTAAATTGTTATTCATCTATTGCACAAAAGCAACATGAACTAATATAAAATATAAACGATTAACAGCTGCAAGAGTTTCTATTTAGGCTATAACACGTGTTCGCAGCGTTGAGCAATGCAGTGCTGAAATTTGCGTGCTCACGAATCCTCTCATTATAACACACGAATTGTAGACATTATGAAAGATTCATTATGACTGATGACAGCTCACTCAGGGCGGATCTAAAGCAAGATGCCAGTCCAGTCTGTGCTGAAACGTTACTGTCAATCAAACTATCGTGGGAGGGGCCTGTTTTTGTGACGTCACACAGATCGGCTCGATTTGAGAAAAGGATAAAGATTTTAGTAGATTAAAAAAAAAACACTGGGTGGATTTTTATCATTATAGGGTGGTTGTGTACACACACTGCCAACACACATTTCAGTTCAAACAACTTGTAAAAGTGCATGTAGCATCCGATAACCCCTTTAAAGCATCATTTGCTGAATAAAATTCAAAACATTACTGACCCTAAACTTTTGAATGGTTTTGAATGCAAACTATTACCACTTGAAAATGCTTGAAAATTCATAAAGTTAGACTGTAAATTAGAATACATTTAAAAAAAATTTTACCTTCTATCAGGAAGAAAATACATTTTGACATAGGGATTTCTGGGTCGTCCATCTGGTCGAGGGGGCAGTTCTCGTGCTTGTAGGACATTGACAATAAGCTGATGGCCCACTTTATCATACCATAATTTCACCTTGGTAAAAAGAAATAACAATTTCTCAAAGTGTTCAAGGTGTTGGCAATACATTATTTACATGATAAAATATGTCAACCTTGTCACCACACCACTTCCTTTTCAGGTGAGAAAACAGGTCTAAATATGTTCTCTCCAAAGTGTTTTTCCCCCTCCATGCTTACCGACAACTGGCCTGGCAGTACCAGAGGAAGGTCTCTCAACATCCCTGGACTAGTTGGTGACATTACAGAAATGGATGGACGGTCCATCTTTTGGGATTCATCTATAGAACTCGAACCAGCTGTAAGTTCAAAAAGTTGACGTTAAGTGTGGAGCTGTGCAGATGTATTGTACACTTATTGGTGAAAATTAGTTCTTTTTTTTTTTGTAGTGTTTGTCATATTCATATTCATTAATTATAGTCAGTTTTCCTCTTACTAAAATTACATTTTTACTCTATGAAAATACAATTTAGTTGGCGAGTACAAAAATGAAACAAAAAATAAATAAAAATAAAACTGTATTAATTTAAACATAAATCAACATTTACCAAAACCAGTTAAGAAAACCTGAACATTACAATGAGTACACTATTTGAATAAAACTTTTGTAAATTCTTACTGCTTTATTAGTCATTGTCAGTGTGTTGTCCAACAAACCTTCATTATGTTCACAAGTATTTTTGTTTATGTTATTAACATTGCCCTTGTGTCAACCAATGAAAGTCAATTGTGACTCACTTAGATCCATTTTAACCACATGGGAAAAAAAGCGTCTTGGACATTCCTCTAAATATCTCCTTTTGTGCTCCACGTAAGAAAGAAAGTCATACAGGTTTGAAATGACACGAGTGTGAGTAAATGATGACAGAATTGTCACTGAACTAACTATCTGAACTATCACTGAACTATCTTTTTAAACTGAAGTCACAAAACCTACTTGATTCTAAAGGAGGATGTGATGTCCCTGGAAGTCTTGGTGTATCTCTGTAGAAAACAGAGAATTGAAACACAGGAGAGAAGAACGTCAGTTGACAGATCATTAGCTTCTCTCTCTCTCAGTTTTTCCACACACATACACACTAACTTGACTGCACATTCTCTCTTGAGATTTCATGGCAAAACTGTCCAGACACAGGAAAGAAAAGGGAACCGAAGGACCGCTCTAATGCACTGGCTGAACCATTTTAATGGTGAGAGGAGGGTCTGGAGCATGTAGGGTGACAATGGGGACACTGGGTAAAAGAACACTCTCAGATACTACTTTACTTACTGATATGCTCTATAGACCTTTTTCAAGAAGTTTTTGGACAGAATTCGTTGAATACATCTTTAACATGCAGCAGGAAGGAAAATCAATGGAGTCACTTATATATCCAAAGGTTTGTTCTCTATTTTTCATTGCCAAACTAGCTGCTCATTTTTTGTGGTTTGTTTAGCTTACCCAATTGGTCTAGAAACAACTATTTCCACTTGAGGTGCTAATTGGGACTCCAGAATAATATTGTACACTTCCTTTTTAGTTGCTCCAGGCAACGCCTTTCCATTCCACTGCAACACCTCATCGCCTGAAATCAAAAAAAGAAACCATTTAGCACTTGGTGGTGTCCTACATAGACAGACTGACTGAATAATGAGCTGTGAAAATTACACGTAGATATGCAACCAAAAATATCAATGGAGATCTAGCAGAAGACATCCATAAAGAAAAATAAACATTTTAAATAATGCAATTTTCTTACAAAATTAGTTCGTCAAAATTAAATAATTATTACCTGCTCGTAAATGGCCTACAATGTCAGCCAAACTTCCTTTCTTTACTTTGGTGATAAAGGCCCCCAATCTCCCTGACTCTGTCATTTTCCCACCAACCACCTGGACAGGACAGATGAGTCAAATCAAGTCAAGTCACCTTTATTTTATAGCACTTTATACAACAGAAAGCAGCTTTACAGTATTAAACAGGAAAGTAACAGAATCAATGATGCAAACTTCAAAAATGAAGCAAATCCAAAATTCTGCTAGAAAGCAGCTCTAACAAGACAATAGTATCATTACTCAGCTCCAGTCAGTTCAGTGTTGATTCAGATCAGTTCAATAACTGTGAAAAGCTCATTCATTATGAAACCATTTCAATTCAGCGATAAGCAGCTCTAACAGCAGTGCCATTATTAAGGCTCGAGTGAGTTTAAGTTTTGCTCTCATCTGATAGCGTCAGTGCTGTCAAGTCAATGGTATTACTGAATTTTAAGTGTTTTTTAAAACCCAACTAAACAAGCCAGAAGGCGACAGAAATGGAGAAAAAAACTTTGGGAGAAACCAGGCTCAGTCAGGGGACCAGTTCTCCTATGGCCTACAGTATATGAATGAGCACGATAACATAACCATGTTTACTCACAATCTGCAATAACAAACTAAGTACTGCTCTTCAGCATCTTTACACAAACATTTTGTAGAGCATGGCACAAGCAACACTAAGGTTATAGGTTCAGTTCTAAGAGAACACACACACTGATAAAATGCATAATTTGAATGCAATGCAAGTTTTTTTTTAATGGTTTTTGTTTTAGCTTACTATAATAAATCTGGTTGTATTTACCTTTATATATCGTAACAAAGCAATAATGACAAGAAAAAAGGCAAAGCTCAAATTAGCAGCTAGTGGATCTTTTAAGGTGCAGTCATATTTAGTACTGCTCAGCAAAAAGGCGAAATCCAAATCTGTGCAATGAAGAATTTCACCTGACTGTGGGTTCATATTTGTCACAGACCAAAAGCAAGCCTCTTTGTTCAGCAGTGACCTCTGTGTGTGTGTGGCGATCCATAACTTAACAATAAAGCAAAACCAAAGATCCACAATAGACGATGCACTCATTCTGGCGGTCTACTCAGCCAGTTTTGTATAATACTACACTTCAATTTAATAAAATGATCCATTAAAAAGCTGTATGGAAAGCCGTTATTTAGGGCTAGTTTGTTTGCTAGCTGGCAGAATAGCTTTGGATGTTTATTTTGTTATCATTATTCCCATATTATTAACTGTATTTTGTCGCATCTGGTCCCTCTTTATTTTGGTGGGGAAATTTTAATAAGCAACCGTAAATGTGACCCTACCTTTAGTGTAGTGCAAGTGCAAGATAAGGAGAAAAATGTGATTTGCTAGTGTAAACTGTCATTGACAAGCTCACCTTCAGACCCAGTAGGGAACCAGCTTCTCGTGGCATGGTGGAGCGCTTACTTAGAGTGATGCGGCCAATCAAATGATCTCCCTCTTTGGATGGCTGCCAGCTCACTGGATGCTGTGAGGAACCGAACAATGCTTTTTTTTTTGTCCCATTAATGCTGAACACTCATACTGACATGACATGTACATGTGAATATACAAATCAGTGAGTTCAGCTACAGAAACGTTGTAATCAAACAACTGCTGTTTCTGCTATTGCACCCATTGCCACTGATACATGACTGCAATATATGATTCAAATAAATTTAAAATACTTACATGCCACACAGTGGGGTCCAGAGAATGACAATCCCAGTCACCTGCAGAATATAAATTGACAATTATAAACACATAATTAATCCAAAATAGAGCTGTAGAAGCATGATGACAGTCATAAGAGGAAAACTGTGTAGCTTCAAAACAGAAACAACTTTTTGAAAGTGTTTAGTTTAGTATCACTGATATAGTAATATCGTTTTTGCTTATATTTTGAATTAGACTTTATTTTAATATTTTCTGTTTTTATTTAAAATGTATTTAACGTTTTAGTCATTTTCTTAACATGTCTGTGTAGTTTTTTTTTTTTAAGTTTATTTGGTTGTAGTTATTGTAGTACTTTAACTTCAACTTAAGAAACCATTTAAATGAATTAAAATAAGTTATTTTTTTTTTATAAAATCGTATAAGATATACAGTATGTGTCATTGCTAGCTTGAAGCCCAGATCCAGATAAGTTTGATTTTAGGGTGTATTCACACCTGTCTTGTTTGGTTCAATTAAATCAAACTCAAGTTCGTTTCACCCCTTGGTGCGGATCTTTTGGGCAGGTGTGAATACAGCAATCGCACTCGGGTGCGGACCAAACAACCGTTCCGAGACCCAGCTGAAGAGGTGATCTCCGTCCGGTTCCAAACGAACTCTGGTACGGTTCATTTAAGGTGTGAACATGACCCGACCTCGATCCAACCCAATTGCAGAATTCACTGCGCCTTTCTGTAATGTTAACAGCCTCCCATAGTCGAAGGTGCATTATGGGAAAGTGTTGTGTTATACCAAATACCTAAACTTTATACCTAATCCGTCTTCTGCGCAGTGCCACTGTCAGCATGCCATAGTAGGCACACATAAGAGCATGCTCTCTCCGCCGGAACCGTCTTGCAGCACATCTTTTTCTTCGCAAAATCCTAATTACAATATTGTATAGACGACATTGTCTCATATGATGCTCAAAATGTTTCCTCATATTGCATTAGTAGCTGATAACACCAAACCAGTAAAAGAATAAAAATTGCGCTACGGAAGATCTCCATGATTAGTCTGTTTTTGAACTTCCTGCTTTTCCCTGCTTGAGAATTTCTGCCCAATGAATGGATGACCTTAGCTCACGTGTGGTTTTGTTTACAATTTCTGGTTCACTTGCAAAAAGGGCAGTGTGAAAGCGAACCACACCAAAAAAACTAAACAAATCAACATTGTATTTGGTCCGGACCAAAGCAAGTGAACTAGCGGACTTTCCTGTTGTGAATACACCCTTTGACTCCTTCTTCAGACTACACACAAGAAAATAATATGCAACAATTCTACAGGGATGTCAAACAATTAACACATTTAATCAGAATTAATCTCATAACTTTTTTTAACTTCCCTTTAATTAACATGTTAGTGCATTCAGTTACTTTTTCAGGGGGAAAAAAGTGTTTGGCAATTGGTTTCAGCGATTTTAGGTGAATAACACTTGCAAATGTATGTGTGCAATGCATATAAGAGACTATGTATAAAGGAGGATTTTATTCATCTCACTTTACCTGTCAGTCATTTTGGCCCATGTCATATTGAATAAATGCCTTAAGAGCTTTTAAATAAATAAATAAATAAATAAATGTGTTAAACATTTAAACACCTGCATAATTTTGACAGGCCTATTCAATACACGTGGTTGTCTTATGAGGCTCAGAATTTGAACATTTACCATACAGGAAGAGGAAATTCTCTCACTTTATAAACTGTGTATAATGATAGTCTCATACTAGCTAGATTTACACTTGAGAAGAAAACGTCTCCAGGTTACATATGTAACCATGGTTCCCCGAAGGGAACGAGACGCTGCGTCGAAATGCTACGGGAACGCCCCCAGCGTGACCACGCTCTGAATCACATGTGTAATCAGTCCAATGGAAGGGCGAGACGTCATAGGCGGGTGACGTAGCGACCAGGAAGCTATAAAAGCACGTGAGGTGGAACCGGCGTCAGCTTCTAGGAATGAAGCAAGCTCTCGCAGGGATGCCGGAAGTATGGCCCTGAGACGCAGCGTCTCGTTTCCTTTGGGGAACCATGGTTACATACGTAACCTGGAGACGTTCCCCTTCAGGAACTCGAGCTGCGTCGAAACGCTACGGGAACGGGAATGCCCACGCCGCCAGACTTACAAATCCCTGTCTATTGTGGAAGAGCACAGCTAAGATGAGAGAACAGAAGAGCCGGGAGTGGCTCGCATATCTAGGCCATAGAATCTGATGAATGTGAGGGGCGTGGACCATCCTGCTGCGTTGCATATGTCCTGCATAGACACACCTGCTAAGAAGGCCATACCTCGGGTCGAGTGAGCCTTGACCCCCATTGGCAAGGGGCTCTAAGTAAGAAGGGGCCACTGAGAGGGCCTGAAGGTCCCCAACTCTTTTTAGAGAAGCAATAGCCAGAAGAAGGACAGTCTAAATTGTCAGATAGCGATCAGAAATTTCTTCAATAGGCTCGAATGGAGACTTACAAAGAGCTTCTAGCACCACAGCCAGGTCCCACGTAGGAACGCAAGATCGTGCTGGGGGCCTCAGCCTCAGCGCACCGCGGAGGAAACGTGTAACTAGGGGGTGTCTGCCCACTGACTGACCACCGAGAGGGGCGTGGTAGGCCGCAATGGCCGCCACATAGACCTTCAGGGTGGAGTGGGTCAACCCTGCAGAGAGACGGGCCTGCAGGAACTCCAGCACTGTACCAACCGGGCAGTTAACTGGGTCAAGCTGGCGATCTCCGCACCAAGAAGTGAAAGTTTCCACTTCATGGCATACAGTTTCCTCGTAGAAGGAGCTCTGGATTGGAGGATGGTCTCAACAACCTCGGTTGAGAGACCGGAAGCTACGAGTTGTGCCCCCTCAGAGGCCACACCCATAACATCCACAGCTCTGGGCGGGGGTGGAATATCGTGCCTCCGCCTGTGAGAGGAGGTCCCTCCGGGAATCTCTCTCCCATGGAGCGCCGCCGAGGAGAGAAACGCAGACCTCCCTGGTGGTTGATGTAAGAGACCACCGCTGTGTTGTCGGTACGCACCAACACATGGTGACCTCTCAGGTCTGGGAAGAAGTATCTCAGTGCAAGCAGCACGGCCAGCATCTCCAGGCAGTTGATGTGCCAAGTGAGATGGCGATCGCTCCACAGACCGCAGGCAGGGTGGCCACTCATGACCGCACCCTAGCCGGTGAGGGACGCATCTGTCGCTAGCGTTATGCGGCGACAAGGAGCTCCCAGCACCGGGCCCTGAGACAAGAGCCAAGGTTTCCTCCACATGTCCAAGGCACGTAGGCATCGCCCAAGAACAACATCTCGATGTCGAACCGCCATCTGCTCCGATTGAGCCAAAATCAACCAACTGTCGATATAATTTAGTATGCGGATGCCCTGGAGTCGCAGTGGAGCCAGAACAGCATCCATACACTTCGTAAAAGTATTCCTCAAGAGAGTGTTGACTTCCTGTTCTAATACCAGAGCCTGCCCGGGGCCCACGAGTGTGGGAAAGACCCTGTTGAACAGTGGCGGAGGAGTGCCGAACTGAATGCGATAGCCTTTCTCTACAGTGTGCAGGACCCAACGAGACACATTTGGCAGTAGTTTCCACTCTGCTAAATAGTTTACTAAGGGAACCAGTCCCTACTTGTGGCTGCTAATTCGGTGCCCTGAAGCGGAGGACCGGCAGGAGACGGCCGAACTAGCTGCTCTGGAGGTATGAAGCCCTCGACCTAGAGCGCCGCTGACCTAGGTCCCATTGCGGGGGAGCACGAGAAGCGACGCTCTGCTTTTGCTGCTCACGGTATGAGGAGGAGGGGGTACACAGCGAGGGGTGCTCCCGCCCAGCAGCCCCCAGAGCTAGAGAATGGCGAGGGAGGAACCGCTGGAATGCCGCTGCCTGTTTACGGGCCTCCTGGTACCTGTCGATGACGGAATTTACGGCGTCGCCGAACAGGCCAGAAGGCGCAAGCGGGTCGTCGATGAGGAAGACCCTGTCCTTTTCTTTAATATCTGACAGGGTCAACCACAAATGTCTCTCTGCTGCCATTAGAGCTGCCATAGACCGCCCAATGGCACGGGTGGTCTCTTTGGTGGCGCGGAGAGATAGGTCAGCGGTGCTGCGAAGCTCTGCTATATCGTAAGATTTTACTTCCTCGCCTTCATCTAGTTCCTTTAGCAGGTCGGCTTGGTACGCCTGTAACACCGCCATGGTGTGCAGACACGCACCAGCCTGACCTGCTGCCGTATACCCCTTGCCCACCAGGTTAGATGTTGTGCGTAACGGCCTGGAGGGCAATGCTGGAGCCTTTAAGGACGATGCCGCGCCAGGGAACAGATAGCTTGCGAGCGCCTGTTCAGCCCGGGGCATCGCCTTATAACCGTGGTCGCTAACCCCCGCCACGTTTGCATAATGAGAGGAAGCGGGGGTAAATAGACGAGATGAATATGGTTTAGCCCAGGATTTCGACACCTCAGTGTGGAGATCGGGGAAGAACGGTAGGCTCCGGTGCAGAGGTGGTAGCTTACTCCGCAGAAAGCGTTCATCTATCTTACTTTTCTGTGGTTCAGCTTGTTTTTCGGCCGGCCAATCGATATTTAACTTAGCTACGGCACGAGTAACCCCCTCCACCAACTCCTCATACTGTGCTGAGTGAGGGGGCGAATCCTCATCGACGCTCTCCACATCAACCTCCTTGGAGGAAGATAGGCGGAGCGTTGAGCCCGTTCCCCGGGGGGAAGAAACCGCAGTGCGGGCTTCCGATCCCAGAGAGCGGGCCCCGGATCTGGTGGATGAGGAAGGAGATAGGGGCTCGCCCGTCTCCATTCCCTCCGCCAAATCCAATTGCGAACCCCACGAATGCAGCCGCCACTCAGCCTCGGCTGAAGCGGGACCAGCACCGTGCGGAACGCTGGCGAAGGCTCCCTCCTCGAAGAGAGCATTCCGGGAGCGAAGCGAGCGCAGTGACATTTGCTCACAATGCGGGCAGTCGGCCCCCTCGAGAGCCGACACCGCATGCTTCGCCCCCAAGCAAACAACGCACAG